GCCAAGAAAGTTGACGATAAAAATATATTTCCCACAATAAACTATATACGCTAATTATTTCTTTTTTTTATTCCACTGAAATAGTTCTTTAGAATTGCTAAAGCAAATATTTTAGCGATTGCATTATTTCTTGAATGCTCCACAAAAGTGCCTATTTAATATTTCTCGAATATTCAATTATTTTCATAAATACATAATACAACTCATCACAGACTTTCAATTATTATTAATTTTTAATATTTTAATGGAATTCCTCGAAAAATGTAATTATTCTTAAAAATTTTATTAAAATTCAGCTAAGAAATTCAATTACTTTACAAAATTTTGCTTCAATTTATTTATTACAATGTAAGTATTATTTTCAATACATTTTCAATTAAATTTCTTCAAAAAATTTAATTTTTTTAATAGATAATGAAATTCTTTGTAATAAAATTTTTTTCAAAATAATTTTCATAAAATTCTTCGAAGAAATTTAATAAATTTCAAAAATTTGTCATAATTCAATTATTTTCAATGTTTACTATTTAAATAAAATTTCACAAAAGAATTCAATTATTTAAAAAGGAATTTTAATAAAATTCGTCTCAGGAATTCAATTATTTTTAAAAGTATTCTAATTCTTCGCACGAATCTCATTATGTTCAAAAATTCACAAAAATTCTCGTCAAAATTTCAATTATCTTTATAAAAAATAAAATTCCTCTCCGAAATTCAATTATTTTCAAAAATTATAATAAAATTCTCAGCAGAATTTCAATTATTTTTAGTACAATTTTCATCAAATTTCTCGAAAAATGAAATTATTCTTCAAACTTTTATTAAAATTTGTCAAGAGAATTAAATTATTTAAAAATTTTGTTGATAAAATTCTTTATATGAAAATTCAATTTTAAAAAACATTTAATTAGTTAATAAAATATTTATTTTTGTAGTTAAATAATTGAATTCTCGTAGAATATTCTAATAAATATTGATTTAAAAATGAATTTCAGTTAAGATTTTAGATTATAATTGAATATTGAAAGCATTATATTTTTCTTTATGAATCACAATTTTTTTAACAATTATTATTATTTTGTTTTAGAAAAGAAGAAAAATAGTTGCACAATTCCTATTTTTAATCTAATTTTTGGAACAGGATTTTCCACAAGAATTAAAACATTCAAAAATTTCAAATTCAAACCTTTTTTTAAATTTTTCAAACAATTTATAAAAGTATTTTTATAAAACATGAAGATATCGATTGCTCCGAGTCGAAGACTCGGAGTGATCGATGTCTTCATGTTTTATAATAATTAAAGATGACCCTGAGATAAAATCATTATTTTATATTATAAGAATATTGTTACTGTAACTTTTTCATAATTTTAATTCAATTATTATTTTCTAGAGTTTTAAATTATTTTTTATGAAAATAATAATTGAATTCCTTAAAAAAAATTTATTATTTATGAAAATAATTAAATGTTTGCATACAATTTTGTTAAAATTTTCTTTATAAATAATTGAATTTGTTTTGGGAAATTTTATTAAAATAGTAAATATTGAAAATCATTGAAATTAGAAAAATGCATTTTATTTTTGAAAATAATTGAAATTAGGACAAGAATTTTTTTGATATTTATTATGAAAATAATTGAACTTTGGAGAAAAATTTTGTTATTTATAAAGATAATTGGGATTTTTACGAGAACTTTTTTCAAATTTTGAACATAGTTGAATTTTATAAGAATTTTTTTTTAAATAATTGAATTTCTGCAATTATTTCTAATTTCTCCGAAATTGAATTTTTTTAATGTTATCAACAAAAAATTTTATTAGAAAATTTTTAAATTCTGTTATTTTTAAAATTGTTAATTTCATTTTAAAAAAGGTAGTAAGAAGTTAGCCGAGCGAATTGTTGCTATTTTTAAATAAAATGATAGAAAATTGTATTTTTTATTCTTAAAGTTTTTTTTTTTTGAAATTCGCCCGAAAGAATTCAATTATTTTTTAAAATTTGATAAAATTCTAAGTAAAAATTCAATTTTATGAAATATTCAATTATTTAATAAATTTTTTATTTTTGTATTTAAATAATTTAATTCTTGTAAAATTTTCTAATAAAAATTATGATTAAAAAATGAATTTCACTTAAAATTTTAAATTATAATAATTATATAATTTTACAATTAAAGAAATTCGTAAATAAATGTAATAGAACATATTTTTGAGTATCTAACAATTTTTGGAGTGAATCAGAATATTCTTCAGGGTCAGAGAAAAAGTTTAAATTTTGTCTGGAAATCGGGAAAAAGTTAGGGAAAGACAAAATTAAATTTTTGTAGCAACCCTGAAAGGGGAACTTCAATTATAAAAAAAAAATATTTTTACAATATAAAAATAGTAATATTGTAAAAAAGTAAATTTTTGAAAAATTTCAAGAAGATATTCCATAATGAAGTTTAAAAAAAAGAAACAATTTCTAAACAGCTTGAAGCAAAAATTGAAAAATAATTTTCTTCATTTTAATGTTAAGTATAAATTTTAATTTTTTTTTATTATTTTCTTTTTCTATTGTAAATTCCTGTGTTTATATACGTAACTTCTTATTCGAATTCTTTATTTTTAAGAATAAATTTATATATTTTGCTTGAATGGTACTCGATTCGTTTGCTTGGCACTCAGAATCGACTCCGTCTTAGTAACACAATGGCGAGACAACGAACCGAAAGAATAACTCACCCAGAACACAACGCTGCCTGCATGCAAAAGCACAAAAATTGTACGCTCTTTTCGCAGACAACGAAATTTTTCGTGCAAAAAAATTCTTTCGAGAATTTCCCCATATATCATTGTTTTCCATCATGTTTGACAAAATCACCGTGAATCTTTCAAAATTCGTATAAGCCCATTTCATCAATTATTTCCATACATCAGTCAATCAGAAAAAAATTTACTACGTAAAGAAGTAGTAATAGCCATTTTCGGTCAGACATTATGTTCGTTTCATTTACATACATATAAATACATTAGCGAGACAAAAGAAAATAAATTTCTTCAGTCTTGACAAATATATTTCACTAATTTTACGATTTAAACAATATGTCATTTAATTTATTTAATTATATTAAATTAAAATTTTTTTCTATCATAAAGAAAAATGAAATGAAAACCCAACTAGATAATCTTACAATTTATTATCAAATAAAAAGTGTCAAATATGTGTTGTAGAAGAGTCGTGAATTTTTCAAAACTTTACAGACAAAATATTATTTCAAGCAAAATGTAATAATAAGTAAACTTTTTAATAATGAAAAAGAAATTTATTAATTATTCTTCACATTTCGTATTCAACACTGTGTGAAGTGAAAATGCAATTGATGACTTTTTAATTTTGGAAAAGGTCACTCAATTATAACGCATTTATAAATATATTAATTTTCCGATAAAATTAAATTATTTTTAAAAATATTCAAATTGATACATTAAATCAATTATAAATAATAATTTTAAGAATAGCATCTCCACATATATTGAATCTCATAAATGTTCGTCAATATTCGTAATTCTATAATTATTTATAATTAGACATTGAATCTAGAGATTTTAATAATTAATATAAATGGATTTCAATTTTTAATTTACTTTAATTTCTGATATTTTTTTGATCTTCAATTTTTTTAAGAATCTTGGAATTAATTTCTTAATATAAAAATAAAGAAAAATTTATAATTAAAATCTCAGTTTAAGAAATAGTAATACTATTAGTGGTTTTTTTTAACGAAATAAATGTAGTAACTTATTTATAAAAATAGCAGGGCACCAGCTCAACTGTGTTAAAAAAATTTCATCACTCAAAAGCCGTTTATAATAAATTAGTGAAACTTACACTGATTACACAAAATTGTCCACTCTTTTAAATGAAAATATTTGCATAATTGTAAATTTAAAAATTCCATATTTTTAATAACAATTTTATAATTATTAAAATTAATTATTTAAAACAATGTTCATAAAATTCTTATAAAGAATTCAATTACTTTCAAAAATAATAAAATTTTTCACAGAAATTCGATTCTGTTTAAACATTTTAATAAACTTTTCCGCAATAATTCAATTATTTTCAAAAATAATAAAATTCTTCATTGTAATTCAATTATTTTTGAGAATTATAATAAAATTCCTAGCAACTATTCAATTATTTTCATAAATAATCAAATTCATAGCAGGATTTCAATTATTTTTAATACAATTTTACAGGAATTGCTTAAAAAATGTAATTATTCTTAAAAACTTAATTTTAATTTCTCGAAAAAATCAATTATTTAAAAAACATTTTGAAATAATTCAATTATTTTTCAAAATTTTAATAAAATATTGTCTAAGAATTCAATTAATTACACAAATAATTTTTCGATAAAATTCAATTATGTCGATAAATAAGAAAATGACTCCCGAAAATTCAATTACTTTTTTTTTTTTTTTTAATAAAATTCTTTTCAAAATTCAATTATTTTCATAAATAATAATATTCATCACAATAATTCAATTATTTTTAAAAGTATAAGAAATTTTAATTGAATTACATAACTGAGACACTAATTAGAATAAAATTTTCAATTTATATTATTTTAAAAGTTTAAAGTATATAAAATTCCATTTATTATTATTATAAAAATTACAAAATGTTTTATTTTCAAATATGAATTTTAAATAATTTCAATGTCAAACTTTAAAAAAATTCAATCATTAATTGTTTTGCCAGACTAATTCAGAAATTATTAGGAAAATTCCTAATAAGCCGCGGAGAGGGGAGGAGTAAGGAGATCAACACAATAATTACTGTCACTGAATTTTAATATTAAAAATTATTATATTCGGCAGAAGGCCGAATTTTCAAATTAATTAACCGCATGACAAAGGCGGTGACAAGCATCACTTTTCACAATTTTCGAAATATTTTAATTATTGCCAATCTAGCGAGAAAATGACAATTTGATATTACTGGGACTCACCGTCGATGCGTCGACGACCCCGCATAGCGCCTCGCCCATATATGACACCAAACTTTTAACTTAAATTTCGTTTTAGAAATTTTTATTACAGGCGTGATGCGCCGTTGAGTACTATCAAAACGAGAATTGACGAGAATGAATAAAAATGGCCGTGGGTCTGGCTACGAGAGCGTCGCTACACACGCGCTTCTTTTTAGTTTTCAAGTGAGTCCCCGGCGTACTTTTTTTAACTTTACTCTCTACTCTTACCTGCGCGAGGTAAGCCGCCGATAATGCAGAGCGCCTACTTATTAGTCGCTTTCGTTTACCGCGTCGCCCTTTAATCCAATATGGCCGCAGTCAGTGTTTTGACAGGACCAAAACAATGAATAATTTTCGTCTTCCTGGTGCTCTTGAATATTCGGGACTCACATCCGAATATATGCACCAGGAAGTACTTCCCCTGCAGATTTCGACTAGTGACAGCGTTACAGACCAGCCGATTTCCAGTGAACATTTTCTCGATGACTATGAAAATAATAAAATACGAACGGCAGAAAATGTTCTAATTTCAAGTTTTATTACTATTGTTGATCTGACGAGTTAGCAGATTTATTTAATAAAATTTCAATTATTTAAATAATTGAATTTACGAGGTATAATCTTTTTAATTTTATTTAAATTTTGAAATTCAAAATACTAATACTAATTTTTATTTGTTTTAGGAAGGAATATTCTCGTTTTGATGGAATCATTATCAAAACTTTTAATTTTCTAAATTAAATCTTAAAAAACGATAATTATTGTGCGAGGCAAAATGCCGCGTCCTATATTTCCTTGGATAATACCAAAAAACATTTTATTGCAATACTTTCCGGCATTCAATTGGCTATTAGATTTACAATATCACTATTTTCAGAGGGTGAAATGTAAAAAGGTATAATTTTTACGAGTAGTCATATACAATAACAAGACACAATTTTTGACACATATGCTCCATATTTTTCTATAAAAATGAAAATATTATTTGAAGGAAAAAATCACCCCAGTCATTAAATATGAAAACGTTTGTAATAAAACAAAGATCGTTATAAGCGTCTACTGGGGAAAGCGAAGAAGAATATTCTTGTGTTGTAGTATTGTGTACGAAAAGAGCGTGTGGATGGTTGGGTTCAGTTGGTGGTTGGAGAAACCAAAGGAGACGTAAATTTTGGTAGTTACCCCGCAAAGTTGGGAACACAATACGTGAAAGTAATACCAGATGAAAAGCAGAAACCAGATCCCCTCTGGGCAAAGACAGTAAGTATTCACGAGATAGTGCATCCAAGTTAAAGATATATACTCACTAGTACTTATGAATTTAAATTTTCAAAATACACACAATATATTCTTTCAAATAGAAATAAAATTATAAATTGATTCACACTTTTTTCCAATTTCTTTGACAATTTTCTCTTCTTTTTTTTTTCCTCTGATATATTTATTTTTATCAAAACTTGTTTAGATACCTACACGGAAATGAAGTGAACTATCTTTTATTTCTTCTATATATATGTTTTGTACAGATATTCAAGTTGGAAAACAGATTCGATTTACTTTTTTAAAGAAAATAAGAGTAGAGGAAAATTGGAAGAATAAAATTGGTAGTAAGTTTTCGTGAGAACGAAAAACTTTTTCAACCACAAACAAAAGGGGGAAAACTGTCTTACTCTATGAGAAGCAATTTGAAGCTAGGTCATTGCATTCTTCTTATTTTCTTTGTGGACTATCACTGCGATTATTTTATAAAACTTATTTAATTTCTCCCTGACAAATATTCTAGAATTTCGATTCAGAGATTTCAATTTCAAGATTTGGCACAGTTTTCAATTTCTTCAAAGTATTCGCTCTCTGCATGTCAAGCCAAAAAGGAAGGGAAAAAAATACTTTAAAGGAAGAATGCAATTTTCCACGGATATATATTGTTTTTGGTGTGTGTATATATATATAGATAGATAGGAAAGCGACAATGCAAATTACATTTCGTCAAGGATTGACGTCAGAAACTAACCCAATATAGTTAAAGCACAAGTGATGTTTACTAGAAATAAACTCAAGGTGTAACTTTCTACATGCCTTTGTCATCCTTTGTCGGCTTCGAAACTGCATAACAACGTAGCAGTAATTCTCAACGATTTTACTTTGAAGATACGCAATAAATTTGACGAAACTTTCAACCAGCGAAAGCTTTTGCTAAATCGAGATCAAAAAGCTTAAAATACACACGTTTCGTCAACTAAGTAGATATTTTACGAGTATTATTATTTCCCATCGTTGTTTCAATGATTCATTGCTTACACGCACATGCAAGCGGGGGATGGTACAATAATTGTTAATTGATGAGACACCAAATTATCTCTGCTAATTTCTGTATAAATAATACACGACAACATGTTTTCTTTTTTATTAACATAATTCAATCACTGACATAATCATAGTTTTCTATTTTTACACCATTTACTAATTTTTTCGCAGAATTCTATTTTTATTCACAATTATATAACATCTAAACGTTTTGTTTTGCATTATTTATGTTATGTTTTGTGGAAGTTTTTTTTCTATCAAGAGTTGCTACAAAAAATTGATTTTGTTTTCTCATTAGATACTTTTTCCTGATTTCCAGACAGACTTTGTACTTTTCCCTGATCCTTATAAAAACAAATTCTGGCCCCTAAACGCACCCTATTTTAAAAAATTTTCCCGATTTTTTTCGTCGCAGGAAATCAATTGTTTTCAAAAATTCTTAAGTAATTTTGCAAAAGAATTCAATTATCTTGATAACCAACAAAATTCTCCCCATAAAATCAATTATTTCAAGGATTTTTAATGAAATTCTTTTCCAAAATTCAATTATTTTGATAAATATCAAAATTCTTCTCAAGAATTCAAAAAAAATTTTAATTAAATTCTTGGCAAAATTTCAATTATTTAAAGATTTAAACAAAATTTAATAAAATACTTTGCACGAATTTAATTATTTTTATTAATTTTAATGAATATCTCGTCAAGAATTCAATTATTTTTATAAATAGAAAAATTTTTCGCCAAAAATTCAATTATTTTCAAAAATTTAAATAAAATTCTTTGCAACATTTCAATTATTTTTAAAAGTTTTTTGCAATTCAATGTTTTTAAATATTTACTATTTTCATAAAATTTATCAACAGAAAAAAACTTGTTGATACAATTCTACGAAAAGATTCAATTATTTTCATAAATAATAAAATTTCATTTATGAATTCAATTATTTTCATCGCAGAATTTCAAATATTTTTAATACAATTTTAAATAAATTCCTTGAAGAATGCAATTATTATTAAAAATTTTATTAAAACTTGAGAAAAGAATTCAATTTTAAGAAACATTCAGTTATTCAATGAAACAATAAAATTCGTTGCAATAATTCAAAAATTTTCATAAATAACATTTAATTCGTCGCAGAAAATCAATTATTTTCAAAAATTTTTAAGTTATTTTGGAAAAAAAATCAATTAGCATGATATACAAAACAAAATCGCATAAATTCTCCCCATAAAATCAATTATTATAAGGAATTTTAATAAAATTCTTTTCCAAAATTCAATTATTTTGATAAATATCAAAATTCATCACAAGAATTCAATTCTTTTGAAAAGTAATAAAATACTTTGCAGAAATTAAATTATTTTCAAAATTTTGTAAAAATTCTCGTCAAGAATTAAATTATTTTTATAAATATAATAGGATAGGGAAATTTTGCTCAAGAATTAAATTATTGGCAAAAATTTTTTTAAAATTCTTCTCAAGAAGTAAATTATTTTCAAAAATTTTAATAAAATTCTTCTCATGAAGAATTTGTTTTTAAAAATTATTCTTTAAATTCTTATCAGGAATTCAATTATTTTTAAAAAAATTTAATAAAATTCTTCAAAAAGTTTTCATTTATTTTCAAAAATTGTTATAAATTTATTTAATATAATAAATTTCATTAAATATTTAATAAACATTGAATTTAACGATCATTCCGAGTCTATTAAATATTTATAACAACCGAGTGATAATATCATATAATAAATTTCATTAAAATTCTAATTAAATTCTTTAAAAGAAATGAAATATTTTCAAAAGTTGTTAATACAATTCTTCGTAAAAATTAAATTTTAAGAAACATTCAATATTATTTATTTTTGGATTTAAATAATTGATTTCTCGTAGAATTAAATTATTTTTTTCGTACTTTTAACTAACAATTCTGTAGAATTAATTTTTTTGAAAAAGTTAAATTAAATATCTAATAATTGATGTTATTGATTTAAAGTAGAATTTTAGTTAAAAATTCTAGAAAATGTTAATTGAATTGAAATGATACAAATAATTTTGAAGAAATTACAGTAACAATATTCTTATAATAATAAACTAATGATTTTGTTAGTCGGTCATCTTTAATTATTTATTTATTTTATTTTATTTATTATTATCGATTTCTTTATGTTTTATAATAATGTTCTTATAAGTTGTTCAATTTGAAAAGGTTTGAATTTGAAATTTTTGAACATCTTAATTCCAATGAAAAAAAAATGATTAAATATTTATTTTAAATAAAACTATTGATGTTTTCGAATAATTTTACTTTTGAAGAAATTTGTAAATAAATTTAATGAAACATTTTTTTGAGTATCTAATAATTTTTAGAGTGAATCAGAATATTCTTTAGGGTCAGGGAATAAGTCAAAGTTTTGTTCGGAAATCAGGGAAAAGTCAGGGAAAAATAAAGTTAAATTTTGTGGCAACCCTGTATAAATAAATTATATTTTTATCTTTATTTGACCAATTTTTATGGTCCCCTAAAAGTCCCCTAATTTTTAATTTTCAGTCCCCTATTTTCCCTAAAATACTTTTTATGGGCACTGTGAAGCCTGTTAGAGTTAAAATCAAATTTGCGTTTAAAAGTTGTAGCATGTTCACATAAGGCTGTGTTAGTTTTTGAATGGATCTGTAAATATTTATGTTGGTATATTCTATTTTTTAAAAATTGTTTTGTTTGACCTAGATATAAATTTTTTTGCAATCAATGCAATTTATTTTATAAATTAAAGTGGTTTTTTTCAAACGAGTTTTC